GCTAATACTATGTTCCATTATATATATGCAAGAAACATGAGAGCCAAAGTATTTTGTAGAGAACAAGTAGTCCAGTCTTTTAAGCAGCTCACAATGGCCATGCTTTGTGTAAGAAATCCAGAATGAACTTGTTAGCTTATAGGTTCAGCTTCGTCTATGCTCACAACAATGGTCAGCTAGCAACAATCACTGAAATAGCTTTTGGTTTCAAGTTTCATTCCCCTTCTAACTGTCACATATGACCCCCTTTGTTTTACTTCCTATGAAAACACAAGGTATAGAGAACTGTGACTACATGATGGAAGACATGGCAGTGCTCCCAGACATTACGTTTTTGCGCCTAATGGTAATGACAAATAGGCATGCCTTTGAGGCCAGCGCATTCCATGTTCTCAGATTATGTACTGGTATAAGAAGGTTGATGCTGGTGTTTTTGTCAGAGGTAAACCTATTCTTTGTTTACCAAATACCCTGTCTAGACACAGAAAAAAGGTAGCGTTTTGGTCCCTAAAAGGCATTTTTGATTGATTAATTTCTGTCAAAGTATGGATAGAAAGCCAAATTAATTTAAAGCATTATGAAACTATTTTTCAAGGTAGATCAATGCATTCTGTTTTTATGAAGAAAAAAATATGTTTGTATTTAGTTAGACATGGTCCCTAGGTAAACACAACACATTTTCTTACTGGAGTAAGTATTTAAGTTGCCAGGGAAGTAACGGGAAGAAACCTGCATTTGTATTTTTTTGGTCAGATGTATGGTTTATTTGATATCCCAATGATAGCACTTTACTCTGTTGATTTGCTCTCTTTCTAGTTATTGTTTGCCTGTCTGGACTTCTTGTGAGTCGTTGGATGACACTAAAGCAGATCAACCTTGGTAATGTATATAAGAGTTAGAAAATAATATGGCAATGAACAGAAAGTTGAAGTAGTAATTAGCCTAAGTATTTTTATTTTTATAAAAGAAAAATATAAAGGTTATGTAGGTCCATACAGATCCTATGCACTAAGATTGATTCAAAGTCTCCTTAATTTTGGGCAGTTAACCATAGCATATTTCTGTTATTACATGGAATTCTGTGATTTTATAAACAGAAATTATGCTCTTATGTGTTATCTTTTGTCTTAGCAGAAAATTATATTGCTGTAACTAGTTACTAGGCTGAATTATTTTTTAGTTGTTGATATCAACACATTGGCACACCTCGAAAGTGTTCAGGAATCTGACAATGTACTCTCTCATTTTTGTCATTCAATCATCAATTAATTTTATGAATTTTATACTCTCTGGTGTCAGGTCCAGACTGTATGCACATCCGATTGCATATGCCTTCAGCTACAGCTAGTAGAGTGGGAGACAGAGGAACTCTTGTTGAATCACCTTAAAGAAGTGGAAATCGGTGGATGGAGACGAACTAAACATGAAGTTGCTTTTGTGAAACGACTTTTTGATTGGGGTAAATTTCTGTGGTTCAATCTCTGAAGTCAAGGCTAAGGAGCTGTACCAAATATTTCAGAGTTTCTCTAGACCAGGAGTATGCATGAAATTTTACCGATTTGAGAAATGTAGTAAGGTGTTATGCACCTAAGGACTAGCACACCCAAGTTGTCGCTTTAGGCACTTTTTATGCTTTATTTATGTGTTTCTTCTTGTTATGAACCGTGGAACCGTACTGTATGAGAGCATCAACATGCTAGGAGATCTTGAAGACAAATGTTGAGATCCAAAATATTTTGTATTTTGTTTATGAAAGTTGAAGCCTTGTTTTTTTTTCATAAGCTGTATTTAAGTGCCCAATAGGCACGCCCTGCTTGCTAGCCAGTGTTAAACAAGATGATGGTATTTAGGTATAGATTAGAACACGGATAAATTTATCCCGTAACTGTAAAAGTGCAAAATTTGACATGTTCTGTACACAGACAAGTCGGTCGGCCCGCCTGTGGCATTTATGGCTAAAAAAGAATAATCAATAATAGCCTCGCGCCAAATATTAGTTCTAGACCACTAATTGGAGGAAAAATATATATATACATTTTTGGTCCCACAGGTCACGCGGGTGAAATATGACACCTGCACACGACCCGACACCATCATGGGCCTAGTGCCGCGGTTTCCATATTGCATCCGCACCCGCGAGCGTGATTGCCATCCCTAACCAAAACCGGCTAAGTAGGTTTCAGAAAATGACTAGGTTGATTTGCACTGATTTACAGTAAGTGCAAAATTTTCCTTTGTCTCTGCGTTTTCGTGGTTTATTTATTTATTTATTTATCTTGTACCATTGGTTTTTGGGCACAACTAGAAGAGAAATATCATGAGCAATTTTATGACGGAAAGCAACAAGAAGATTTAACTATTTTTTAGATAATGGATAAAACAAATATCCGGCCTCTACATCCAAGGATGTACACAGCCCATTATTATAAAGTTTTGGATGAAAAAAAATGAGAAAACCATAGTCTTATAGATCAATCAGGACGCTAGTTCAAACAATATAAATGTTTCCATTCTTTATTGGATATCTCTAAAGCAATAATTTCCAATTTCTTGCTCATCGTTGAGAGCGCGTCCTTGGCTGTCTCATCACGCTGCAGCTGGGCCCAAGAGCGTAACCAGTACGCTCCTCTGAAAATTACCTGTATAATAGAGTTAGATTTCATTTGATTAAAAACAACATCATTACGGCATCTCCAGATAGCCCAAAACATGGCAGCCACCCCCACCCAAATCAAATTTCTAATCCTTTTATTTTGATTGGTCAGCCAACTACCAAACATGTGGCTGATTGATCTAGGTTGGGTCAAACTAGTAGCAAAAAAGATAATCCTCCAAATCATTTTGGTAAGGGGACAGTCTAGGAACAAATGTGGGATAGTTTCATTCCTAGCAGGATGCCCCCAGATCTACCGTGGGGTGCCATGGTGTGCCAAAGAAAATCATGTCCCCCACAAAGATTTTTGAGAACATGATCCCAACGAAGTCCCGACATTGAGATTTCTGATCCACCGTAGCCCTTCTAAAAGAGATGTTTAGAGCAATAAAATTAATTTGCTCTTCCTTAACTAATTCAGCCAAAAACCTATGCTTAGCCAAGTCTCATCTAGACCTCTCCAAAATGAGCTATTCTAGAAAACTCCCTTCATTTTAATAATAATTTTTGAGGGGTCTTTGGCTTCTTGGGAAGTTTGCCATTAAAAGTATATTTGGCATTATTATATTTTTTCTTCCGTCGGAGTGGAGAGAGATCTATGATTTGATCATTCTCCTCCTCCAAAGAAATTCTCATTTGGATTTCCACCGTGGATAATTGAATTGCATCAATTAGGTCATCCCGCTCATCATCGGTCCTCAAGATTGGGGAGTTTAGATTTAGCGTAACCTTTTTTTGTATTAGCACATAAAACTAACCTTGTCTACCTCTAAGTTTTGATTGAAACTACATCTGAGGTACCTAGGTTGATGCCTACCCTACCAAGGTTTGATAAAATTTTGGAATCTGGAAAGCTAGTGAAAGAGTTACACAAATTGTGAATTCAAGGTTCTTCTTTCTTAAGCCAAACGTTCACCTTTTGTAGGGTATGGGCGTCCGCCAATGCCACATTCCTAGAGCTGCGATTCGTGGTGGTTCCTTCGGTGATACTTTGATGGGCTTCCCTAAGGGAGATATCGAAATTATCCGCAGCGCCTTTTGAACTCCCACAACACCTTGATCATTTTCAAGGTAGAAGTATCCACGAATATGATCACTTTCTCTCATACCATAAGTCGCGAAGGTTAACTAAACGCTCTTTTAGGTGTCGCTTATCAAGATTGGTGGTGAGGCTTGATCTCTGTGTTTGGCCCACCCAGCTCGGATCTTGAATTGCCAACGCTCAAGAGGGGTTGACCCGCCCCGCCATGGGCGTCGTTGAGGCCGGTGAGTCCAGGGTTGAAGCACCTGTGTTAAGCACTAGGGTGTGTGGTCCGAGATATGGGCTCAGCATTGTCCTCTATCCCAAAGTTGGATTATCCCCAGCCCACCCATGTGTATTGGAAGTCCATGCCAGACTTAACATCATTAAAAAGATTTGGCCATTTAGGGGTAGGTGCTTGGGAAGGGAAGGACCCCACTCTTATTCTCGAGCCCATACACCGTATATAGCACAAATTTGAAGTCATTTGATTTGACTCTTAATGAATTGATAGTGCCATCAGAATAGCTCTGTGGTCTCCCACCGCAGTCATGGGAGACACGAGGACTGCTTCGGATAGAGCAATAAAATGTCTCTTCTCGCCAAGTCTCTCTAGACTTTGTCCTTGCGATCTTTTACAATGTCCGAGGGGGTCGCTTCTTGGGAAGTTTGAGTGGCATTATTATATTTTTCTTCCTTCGAGGAGAGAGCGCCCTCACCAACACCTCATCAGCTTGGGGAGTTTAGATTTAGCCAACCTTTTTTGTATTAGCACATAAAACTAACCTTGGCACCTCTAAGCTCGGGTAGGTGGAAGTATAGTGCCACCCTCTCTCACCTTTTGTAGAGAATTCCTCGGGGGAGCTTTGAGGCATAGGGGTTCGGGTAGAAGTTGATGAAGCACCCCCACGCCCACCCCCCCATGCGCCTTGTCCGTCATGTTGCAGCTTGGAGTAGAGGACTCCCGACCGGTGGATCCACTATCGGGCTAGGTTAGCCACCTCTGCCACCACAGTGAGTCACCCGAGGTCGTTCTGCCACGCCCAACCCCTCCAGCCAGCGAGAAGGGGCGATGGGTGATGTAGAGCCCCCCAACTCAGCATGATCTGTCGATGTCGCCGACGAAGACAAGAAAACAGAAGAAGGATTGATTTTGTTAGGTGAATCAACAAGTTTATTATAATCAGCCAATTCTTCAACTGTCAGAGGAGAAAAGGTCTTCCTCTTATCCCCGTCTTCTGGCTCTAGCATGACTCTGATACTGATCTCATTAATGAGCTGCGTGCATGCCAGATCTAGGGCCTCTTCCACCAAAGCAGCTTGCTTCTAATGAGGCAAATTCTGTGGAGGTGCTGATGTTTTGTCAGAAGCTTTAGTATTATTCTGTGGGTTTTGGGGATTATGAGCTTCCGCATCTTCCATCTCACGGTCGCCCCCATCAAGATCATCACCCAACAGACCATCATCCTCCGGATCAATTGGATCAATCTGTACAGCTTCATCGGGCTTAAAAAGCAGGCGGTAAATACCACTGCCAACACAAACATCAGCAAACTTTGGGATCTTTTTCACATCAAAAACTGCCACCAGGATACGAACCTGTCTAGTCGCCCGAAGGTGTATCATATCCACCTTATGTGTGGCCCCAATCATGGTCCCAACTGCCCAAAGTGGAAGAAAAGAACGAAGTGCCCTGGGTACCTTAGTAACTGTCACCCATACCTGCTCCAATAACCTTATGGGTTGAACATCATCAACGAACTTAGCAAATACGATAGTGCCTTCTTTGTTCCTTGTTGTAAGTGTCCTGATAGCTATCATACGATCTAGCTCTTCCTTGCTTGGAAATGGGACAACAAAAGATTTTGCCCCCAGCTGTTGCGCCTCCCAATCCCAACGCACTGGAATAATCCTAGCCAGTTCAGCTTGTACCAAGTGAGCAGGGACATCACCTGATTCCACTGTAATGAGGGCTGCGACTGACGCCTGAAAAGTGTCCACAATCTGATTGTTTCTTGCTGCCTGTATTTGGAAAAAACCCATCCCATCCTCCGCAGCGGCACAGTAGGCGACCGTCGGTTTGGGGCCACGAAGTAGCGGACACCGATTTGTGTAATGTTCTTCGGTACAGATGGAGCACTCCCGTTTCTCAGCCGGTTCCTTCCGCTTCCTCTTGTTGTTGCCTTGTTCATCGACAACCACCCCAGGTTCCACCGTTAAGGTGTTGCCGGCGCTAGGACGGCCACCGTTGTGCTGCTGGCCGGTCCCCCCGTCGGCATCCTCCCGACCACGCGCGGCCACCGATGCGCCGATGGTAGTAGAGGACATCTCCTGCCCATGATCGCCGCTGTTGGCCGGCTTGGGGAATCCCCTCCCACAGCCTCGGCCCTCAGCGCCGGCCTGCTGGGTGCATCCTCCAGCAGGTGGTGGAGCGCCGCGACCCCCGCGCCCACGGTATCGGCCTTGATCGTCACGGCCGCGAACCTAGGAGTTGGCGTGGGGGCCTCGGCCACGATCACGTCCATGATCAGAAGGGGCGCCGCGGTGTGTGGCCGCCTGGCTCGACCTCTTGCCGAATTCGCCGCCCGCCAACTACTGCACACACTAGCAAGTAGTTGAGCGCACATCTAATCTCATATTTCTAATAAAATAGCATGCAGGAGCTTAGCTAGAATTACTCCTTTTATTTAGATCCAGTTCACTATACACAAGTAATTCGCTTGCCTTATGCACAAGTAATTCACTTTCCTTCTTATTAGTGCATCACGAACCCATCTCCAAACATAACTAACTGAACCCAAGAACAAGGCAACAACAGTCAGACAAACACGTATATTTAGAAAATTTAAATTGAATGCAAAATCCAATAAAAATAATTACCAAGTACGATTGCAAGTGATTTTTTAGTCATCAGATTCTCAAATTATAGATCCATCTTAGAAACAAAATTGATCTATATAGAGCAACTCAACCAGATCCTCCTTTTCTTTTCTCTTAAAATATAGTATAGGAGATTAAAAAAACTTAATTGTAATATACAGGGGATATGCGCTCTCTATCTATCCCAAAAAAAATTAATTTTTTGAGGGGTCAAACAAATTTAAGTTTGATCAAATCTATATAAGAAAGTACCAATATTTAGATAACGAATAAATATCATTAGATTAACTTATTTGGGAATATAAATATTGATATTATTTTTTGTAAATTTAAGCAAACTTTAAAATTTGACTTATTTTAAACGCACAATTAAATTCTTTTTAGGACCGAGGGGAGGGGATATGTTGTAGGTACTAGCTCTAAAAGTTCTTTTAAAAGACAGAACGCTAGCTATGGTGACATGCATGGCAACAGTGCGCCCTTGTTCCAACGCTGAAAGCTCTAGTTTAGTTTTGGTGAATTGATGAAACCCTATGTGCTAACCTATTTGCTCTAGTGATTATGAGGCAGGTAGCACTATTCCAAGTGGTGGAGCAAATGAAGATCTTGTTGATAGTGGTGATGGCCATGATGATCAAGTGCTCGGCTTGGAAAAGAAGAAAGAGAAAAATAAAAAACTCAAGGCAAAGGTGAAACTTGATATGAGCTTTTTGGTTTGGTGATCGAGACACCTAGCGAGTGTGATCATATTTAGGATCGATAGCTGTACTATTAAGATGGGTGAAATTCGTCGTGAAATGTTGTTATCAAAGTGCCGCTAGATGTTCTAACTCATTGCATATGCATTTAGATCTAGTGGAGTGCTAACACGCTTGAAAACGTTTGTGAAAATATGCTAACACACGTGCACAAGGTGATACACTTGATGGTTAGCACATTTGATCAAGGGTGACGAAGTTGGAGAAGTAGAGGTGCTGTTTAGCAATGACCGGACGCTGAACTCGAAGTGACCAGACTCGGCCGGTATGCGTCCGATCATTTTTAAAAGTGTTGGGAAGCTTGGGCTTGGTCTGTTCAACGACCGGACGCTGCACAATGAATGTGACTAGACACGCAGGGCCTACGTCCGGTCACAGGTGACGTACGCTGACGTCGGGCGTGAAACTTGGTGCGTAGAGGACAAGAATGGATCAGACGCTGGCCTACGTATGATCGAGGTGCATCTGACACGTCCGATCGTGGTTTGGGCGCTCTGGAACCTCTCTGGAAGTGACCCGACGCCGGGAAGCCGAAGGGAATAGCGCGTCCGGTCATGGCATGGCCGTGGTGTACGGGCGAGGGCTCTGACTTTGATTGGTGCGTCCAGTCTGGCGACGGGTGTGTCCGGTCTTGACTTAACCGCGCAGGCGCTGGGAGATAGCCGTTGGAGATCAGCGGCTGAGGTTGAATGCTCGGGGACACGTGGCTTGAATCTGCTGATCGGATGCTGAGATGGTGAGTCCGGTCGATTCGATCGGCGCGTCCGGTCGTCCCAAAATCAGTGTAGACAGGGGGCCAACGGCTCTGTTCCATTGGGCTCCCTATATAAGTCGTGTGGCCGGCTCTAACTCACTCTATTGGGTATTTGCATTGACATAGAAATCTTGTGAACTTAGCCAAAGCCCTCTTGAAAGGACCTTGATGTCGCCTAGAGGGGGGTGAGTAGGCCTGTTTAAAACAAACTCGCAGCAGAAGTTAAATTCGAGGTGCGGCATTGATGCTACCAAGATGCAGCACTGCATCACTGCCTCACAAAAGTATGGCACTACCGCGCCTGCAGATAAGCTCGAACTATAATTCAAAAACTGCCCAAGGAAAAGTAGATCGAGCAAATTACCGATGTTCCTGGGTAGTGTAGAGCCTATTCCACCACCTGGATGTTGGCGGAAGTGCACAAGCAAGTAGATTGGGACCAAACTCTAGAATCACCACAAATACAAGTATAGCAATGCAAATCACAAGAACACAAGTGGGACACCGATTTATCCCGTGGTTCAGCTCGCCACTAAGGCTTGCCTATGTCCACGTTGTTGAGGTTGCCACAAAGGCTTTGGGTCTCTTTCAACCATTTCCTTGTTCTCAAGTCAAGAGAATGAACTCTTGAGATGAGGGGTGATTTCACTAGCTGTTTGAGATGATTACAAACCTCCTGGGGCTGCCACACAAGTTGGCAAGCTTCACGGACGACGCTCTAGCCGGCTAGGAGCAAAGCTCTAAAAGTAATAAACAAGTGCTCTAGGAGATGAAGAACAGTTGGGGTTGCTCTCTAATGTAGTTTGGAGGCTCAAACTCTCTTGGATTTGGAAGGGAATCAAAGTGTCGGTGCAGAAAGTGACCAACACGTAAATATTTGTAGTTTTGCTGTATGTTGTGATCGGTGGTGGCCTAGCACTCAATGACACAGGGTTTATACTGGTTCAGGCAACGTGCCCTATGTCCAGTTTGAGTCGGTCGGTGACTTTATAGCTGAGCCTAGGTGCTCGAAGTTTGTAGTGGGGTTACAAACAAGAAGGAGAAAGATGGGGTGCACGAGAGGTTTGGTCGGGCTCCGGTCGGAAGGGCTGAGAGTGACAGGAGCTCCACTACGAGCTAAGTGTTCAAGCGTGTGCTTGAGGTCCGAACCTGACGGTTCTATGGTTGTGAACTAGTGAACTTAGTCAATCTAATGAATCTAAAGGGACTGAGTTATGTTGGAGGGAGCGCATCCCCTTTTATAGATGAAGGGGATGGCTTTACAAGTGAGAGGGTGAGGGTACATATGTTACTGAGCTTTGTTGCCCACGCCGGCAGGTACAAGATAATGGTAGGCGCCCACAACACTATTGATGTCACTATAGAATGTCAGATGCATATGGGAGGTTGCGTTGCCTTCTTCAAGTATGGCAGATGTCGGTACCTGCATATACTGTTGATGCCTAGAGGCATGTGAGGAGTTTCACCACGTTCACTCGATACGGTAAATCCTGGCGCCTACAACACTGTCCACGCCCAGAGGCATGTGGGGGTTCCTTACCGTATGGGAGTTAATGGCGCCCACAATACTGTAGGGGGAAATGTTGGCGCCTACAACACTATTTGTGTCTGGGAAGCTGTAGAGTATTGTTTCTGCACAGGGTATGGTCCTAGTATCATGGTTTGACTTGTGCGCCTTGCCTTACTTTTCTCCGAATGTTTCCTGGTCCCTACCGAGCGGGCGTCCTCGATCGGCTGGTCCCAGTCGGCTCTGGTCGTGCCAGTCGGAGAAGAGCAGTGAGCAGGGGATTGGCGTATCCCCAGTCGAAGAGTGCGAGGTCAGAGTCGAAAGCGTTGCTTTTGGCTAGGCCTTTCGGTCGGAGAGGCCGTTCGGAGGGGGGCTAGAGACCAAAGCAAGCGCTCCGGTCAGAGAGGTGGGCCGGAGTCGGAAAATGGGCGATGTTCCTCCTCGGCCTAGCCTTCCGGTCGAAGATTGGATCACTCCCCCTGCCTGTCGCTTAGGTATTTAGGCCGGCCCATGAGTTGCATGCTGTCTGTTTGGGTCGAGCCTTTGCGAGGAAGCCGGTCCACGAGGGACCAAAGGTTTATGAACCCGACAGGAGCCCCCGAGCCCCCGGGCGATTCGGGCGGAATCATCTGGGGGATTTTTGTCTTGACGGCGGGTGCCCGCGAGCACACCCGCGGGTGTAGCCCCCGAGCCCCCGGGAAGTTCCGGCAGAACCGGCTAGGGGGTGTTTGCCAGCGGGTGTCGGGCGTGTTGTGCGTGTTTTTCAGTCGAGATGGAGTTATCAACCAAGGCATCATTGTGCAGCTGAGGCAGTTAATTGTTTTTGGATCGGGTGAGATGGAGCCCGTGGATCATGGCGTCGATGCGTGTTGTGGGATTGGGCAAGGCAGTTAGTTTGTTAGTTTTGGGATCAGACGAGGCGACAAGACGGTGCTCGTGGATCCTAACCTCGGTGCAGCCCGCGTAGCCGAGGCAGTTAGTTTGTTAGTTTAGGGATTAGGCGAGGCGACAAGGCGGTGCTCATGGATCCTGATGGGGCGAGTTTAGGGTCACAGACCTAGGTTGTTTTGGAGCACAGTCGAAGCATAGCCGGATGGGGCGAGTTCAGGGTACCAGACCTAGGTAGTTTTGGAGCGCAGTCGAAGCATAGCTGGATGGGGTGAGTTCGGGGTCGCAGTCCTAGGCATTTTGTGTCTTGAGCCCCCAAGCCCCGTTGGGCTTAAGTAGGGGTCGATGTGAGTTGTGTGCGTTACCCCGTCCTTGGTTCCTCACAACTGGAGGGGATGAGTTTTGTCGCTTGTCCCGATCGCTCGGGCTCGAGTGATGCGCTCGGTGAGTTCGCTAACGGGTATGATTGAGTGGAATCCAGGTCCGTCGTTCCTGACGGGGTCGGCATAGCCCTCTTGTGACATTCCACTGCTCCTTTACC